TATGAATTAAGTGATTCACGGATTGTTATAACAAAGAGGGTTTAGCGTCATGGGTTAAGGCTTTAACATGGGTTAAAGCGTTTTGTGCCTTTGGTTTAGACAGAAAGCATGACTTAACATTGTTCGTCAGATGACTGCAGGAAGACAATTCGCTGAAAGCTTTAATGCGGTTTTCATTTATGGTCTGTGTTTGAGGATGGAAATTACCGAAACAAGTTTGAACAAATGGTTTTTATCTTCAGTAGCGCATTGTGTACCGAGACAAAACCATTTGATATAATGATTTCATTTTGTCACAATAATTCCAACCGCTCCTGTATATACAAGAAGAAGAGAAGTGTTCTTCATAAAGCAGAATTTTGGGGCTGAAAAATTAGAGTACGAATATCTCTTCTAGCTGATGAAAGCCGTATAAATCTGCAAATTATTGATAATTGATCGCAAACGGGCGCCAACGTATGCATGCTATATTTTTAGCAAAATGTGCAAAATTTAATCTTAAGTGTATAGAAATTCTGTCGAGTAAACATGACGAAACATGTGGAGTAACTATAAAAATAACCTTTAATTAATTTTGCATGGACCTTTTGTCTATAAATTAATTTGATATCAGATATGATGGCATTTAAAGTGTCGAAATCCTGATTATAATTTCCAAAACGTTTTCCTGAAGATTCATTGCACGCTATGCGTTTTTTAATTAATTCAGATTTGGAATAAAAATCATCTATGGCTTTGCCCGACATGGCCGATAGGAACTCAAAGAAATAACCGGTGTGCTAGCAAACTAACTGCCGCCTTTGGAATTAGACGAAAACCAGTTTTCGAGTGGAGAGAGCTCTGTTCAGTAAACGTTTATGAGAGCAGATTTCGTTCTTGGTAAAGGTAAAGGAACGCACGTATCTGTCCGTAGGCTTTGGGCCAAGGCATCCATTTGCAGGCCGTTGCAGACATTGCGCTGACAACAACAATTACTTCCCATGGCCTCGAATACAAACGATTCTCTGTGCTCCTGCACTTCTTCAGCTTGCTTTCTATCGTGCTGTTCCACCCGTAAAATTTCCTTTGCCATCATTCACGTATGACTCGATCCACAGTTTACTGAAGATGATGTGGGGTCACTCACTGTACCGTTGTCCACTTTGCTTATCAAAATTACGTGGACACATTCTATGCGCAAGAGAAGGCCATCTGCTTGAAGATGCTGGACTGATAGCCGATGGTTTAACATTTCTGACGTCCGAAAATCGTCATATCAGGTTCGGTCATAAGGCTTCACGTGATAGGACACGTACTGCAGTTCAAATAAAGCAGACACTAAAACATGAAAAATAGTGTCCAAATTGAAACCAAGCAAAGCACCATTACAAGATGACATTACAGTAGAAGGTCATTCATAACGTAATTTAATCAGAAATAAGCGATAACTTTGAGTTTCAATTGCAGCATCTGTATGATTCTCAAAATGAATCCAAGCAGACACAGGAGCGTGGCCACTAAAACTTTACGATTTGCAAATTTTAGGATAAGGCTCGCAACAGCAAAAATGCTTTATTCTTCTTGACGGAAATGCCAACGAGACTATACTCTTAAAAATAAATCACCATGGACATATCAAGCATATTTGACGACAAATTTACTCAACTTCGGTACTGCGTTGGAGACAGAGGACATGTGAGAAATTAGTCGATATAACCAAAGTGCCCATAGATCACGTGGTTTGTTCTGGTGCTTTCGGGAGCGCCATGGACTGTCCGCAGTCTGCGAAGACTATACCCAAATGAAATTTTAAGTCACTCTCTTCAAGAAGTCAAGTCCGGCAAGGACACATCTTCGATTATTCGCCATCAAGCCTGAAATGTAAAGACTATGGTTTGCAACGAACCACTGACAGATACGCCCACTGACCATCCACTGAAAATATGTCTCCTGATGTACACGGAGGGTGCTGATCCGATGCTGATTCAATTCGAGAGGCAGAAGTTTGGCAGAGGTTGTAAAAGCATCTTAGGAGAACGGGTCGGCCAGCAAATGTTCTAACACTGGCTTGGACGGCAGGACACATTCAAGGAATATGGGGGGGGGGGCAAAACCTCCTGTGGAATGTTCTATAAGTGGGTGCAAGCAATGCAGAATCATTTTTTGCGCCTACTATATCCACGGCGGCTGTGGCATATGACTTGTAAAAGTTACATCTTAAAATTTGGTTTGCTTTAGGTGGGTGATTTACTTAGGCAGCTACCATACGGTAGAAAAACAATTGGCTTCAGCAAGTCAGTAGGGAAAACAAGTAGACAGAAATACTTAAAAATCCGAAAATATTAATTTCCATAATTACAACAGTCGACGCATATCACGAATGCCTGAAAACGAACTTTTCCAAAAGATATTTGAGTACTAGTATAAGTTCCCACAAAACAAACTGGTTTACTACAGATTTCCCGCCTAAATTGTTGGACAAGACGTTACGAATATACAGTATTTGCTGTCGTCTATGTAGCCCGAATTCCCATACCGCACGCTTGCAGTCTAGACTAAAAATTAAGCAATGAAGGACTGTACCAAACTAGTCATCGAATTATGCAGACAATTGACTTAGAAAGCGCTCTCCCAAATGTCTCTCCCGACCCTTGTCTGCTGTCGAAATCTGTAGATTATGCAAATTCTTTGTTGATTCGAGCTTATTTACATATTTATACACATTTGTCAGTCAAGTATGTTATTTAGGATGGGGAACTTCATAATGCGTAAATTTTAGCGTCCGCTTCTGCAGGCCGTCATCAGACGCTTATGGTGAGCAAACGTGCCCAAACAGTTAACTCGTTAATTTTGACATCCTTGCGTGCCTATACATGAGTTTAAGCTTAATTGCACGTTAATATTGGTTCATCAAGTAGTTAACTTAGCACGTAATTGAAACAGCTTGATCCCTTTGCAATTCGCTTTTGATATTGTAAGCATCGACGTAAAATATCTACAAGAGATCCATTTTGAGAAAGTAAATCTAACGAGTAAGTTAGTTTTGCTAGTCTTATTCGTCAGGTTAATATGTTCCCGCTCGAGTAAACGGGCAGTGGACAGTGCTCCTTTCGGGAGAGACGGGTTGATTGCGCTGACAAGGTAGAATAATATTTGCATGTGTTCCTTTTCGTTAAACTGATGGGCGTAATGTTCAGTCAGTATATTGTTGCACAAGAATATTTATAACTACTCTCAGCGTTCTATTAAAGTGGGAATTCAATCCCCGAAATCGTTGACTTGCTATTGTTATGAAGCGATTTAAGCTGGTCCATTCTAACGAGAACAGATAGACCAGCCAAAAGTCATGGTTAATTAGTGGAAGACATAAGCCCTTTAGATTCTGCATGGTGATTTTGACAACAGATCCAGTGATGGGTGATGACATAGGAGTTCCTTTTATTTGTTGATAGCAATGTTGGTCGAATGATGAGTTAGGTTCGACGTATGGTTTTCGGAGAACGATCCGTGTCGTAGGGCGGTAGGGGTTCCAACGTGCATTGTTTTGATAAGTCTAGTGTTATAAACGTGCTGGAGTAGACAGCATTGTGAGAAAATATTATTCTATCAGTGCAAATTGTTATTTCTTCTAATGACGGCATTGGAGACTCAATCACTGTGTTTTTTCGTAGAGCCATTTATCATTCCCACACGTCAACTCAGATGCTTGCTATGGTCAACTTCTATGGGTTCGTTTCTATCGTTGCTTAAATGTGACACCACTGCACATTAACAGTGCGTAGAACCTCACTTTAGTTTGTATTCATTCGAATAGGCCGGCAGCAATTACCTGAGAATAGCATGCATTTATGAAGCATTGCTCCGTTAGTGTGAACATTCGCCCACCTTTCTTATTTTAAGCTCGACCAGTCACTATTCTCCATCTCAAGCCAGCTTTTATATAACGCATTAATTTGTTTCCAATCGCTGCATAATTATAGAGCATCATGAGATGGTATGTATTAGATAAAAATACTTATTGCAGCTAAAGTGGCATAAGCACTCTACTGCAAATAATGAAGAATTGAAGGCCGTGAGGCTGAAGTGGGAGTATATTGGGATCACATTTTGCGTCCTCGGAGGATTTTAGGCAGCATCAGAGAAGTTTAGGGAGTTAAGGCTTGAGTTGCAAATCAGTCGTAGAAGAAACAGACACAGATATGTATCCAAGAATTCGAATTACATGGTCACATTTTACTGTAATGCGTAAATCTGAGAGGGTGGATATCATGTATATATGCAAAAATTGCAGAGATGTATCCATTATTGGTCAGTCTCTTTTGCAGTTTTGGGAAAAAAATCTGTCGTCGATGGTCCTGAAAAAGTCAATACGACAAAATCTGCTTCTTTTAGTCTTCTGATAGGAAATCACGTCATCTTCATATTTCACTTATAATTAGGCTCTTAAGAGTTTCTAATATATTTGCTTGAGGCCATTGTGAGGCAGCTATCGAAACTGTAGAGGAAATGTGGACTTAAAAACTACAAACAGTAATATATGCAGAAAAAAACTAACTCCGAATGGGGGAATTGTGTTTACCAACAAAAAAAGAATGTACAGATTAAAAGAACCAGAAAAGGAATGTTCTAGACTCACGTAAAGTATAATCTTATCAAGTAGAGAGATAGTGTCCCGATGAGGAACTGCTTGAAGGGAGGCTCTAGGTTCCGCGATGATACGTTGAAGTCGGCTTTGAGGAGGAAGTCTCCGTCAGCACGTACGAATTGCTAAGGGTATTGAGGGGTGACAAGCGCACGCCAAGAAATAACGACGTCAAACACAGTCGAAACCAGAACACATGTTGACCGCCGTAGCGTTGTTCATGTGTATTTTCCGTTTAGTCAAACAAATGTACAGGCAGGTCAGGTGTACAAGAAAATGTAGGGAAACAAATCAAAAGTGTACAAAAGCCTACACAACTCCCCCACCAGAGCGTTTGCCAAAGAAACAAAACGCTCGATAAAATAAAACGGGAAAAACATTACACTACAAAGTCTTTAAGTCTGGCGGGAAAACGGATATGTCTACCGCAGCCAGATGAAATAGGCAGTGGTGTAGGAGGAGGATTCGGTTGGGTGGGTAGAATGGTCAAGTGTGGTGATGGAGGGTAGGTGAGCGGAGTGGGTGTATCGGGAGAGGACGTAGTAGGGGGAATGGATGGCGCACTGGTCGACGGGAGGCACTCCAAATAGGCTGGCTTAAGGCGGTCAATGGAGACCGTGTCAGTCCTATCAGCCTTTTGAAGGACGTAAAACTTGTCATTCCGCTGAACGACTTTATATGGGTCATCGTAGGGAGAACAAATGGGCTTGCGCACTGCGTCATGCCGGACGAAAACAAAGGGAGCGGATTTAAGGTCCTCGTGTACAAACACGTGTTTCGAGGTCAGACGATTGGGTGTTGGACGCACTTGAGCCATGCGTTGTTTCAACTGCTGTACGAAGGTGCTCGTGATGTTAGTGTTTGTTGTGGAAGGCTGCACAAATTCGCCGGGCAGAAGGAGGGGTGTACCGTACACAAGTTCGGCGGCAGTGCATTGGATGTCCTCCTTGACAGAAGATCGGATGCCCAAAAGCACAAGAGGGAGATTGACACTCCAAGTAGCTGACTCTGTTTGGGACATCAGTGTGGACTTGATTTGGCGGTGTAGACGCTCAACGAGGCCGTTGGAGGCAGGATGGTATGCCGTGGTTGTGATGTGCGCGCACCCGAGCAGTCTAGTGAACTCACGGAAGAGGCTAGATTGCAATCGACTTCCGCGGTCGGTGGTAAGGGTGGCTGGCACACCAAAAGTTGAGATCCAGTGGGTCAGAAAATCCATGGCGATATTTTCTGCCGAGATATCCGAGATAGGAACGGCAATCGGCCATCGTGTGAAACGGTCAACGCCCGTCAGTATATGTGTGTACCCACGTGAAGGGGGTAACGGTCCGATTAACTCCAAGTGAACATGATTAAATCGAACATCCGGGACCGCAAAGGTACTTGGAGGGGAGATAGTGTGTCGATGAACCTTGTTCGTCTGGCATGCGAGACACTGTTTGGTCCAAAGAGCAATGTCGGAATTCATCTTCGGCCAAACAAAACGAGCCGCGATTAACTTACGTCCAGCGCGAATGCCAGGGTGGGAGAGGGAGTGAAAGTGGTCAAAGACGACCTTACGATAGGATAGTGGAACAGCAGGACGAGGGGTGCCTGTGGACCAATCGCACAAATGCATTTTTGATCAGGAAGGATAACTTAGGCGCAGTTGTAATACTGATTATCTTGCGACATAATCCTATAATATTTGGGGTTCGGTGAGAAATGATTACTAAAGAAGCGTGCATATTTCCCATTCATTTTCGATGGTCTTGCAAATTTGAACATATGTAATGGAAACCACGAACAAAAATATGCTTCATTTCAGTCGTCCGATAGGAAACCACGTCATCGTCATATTTTAATTATAACAAGGCTCTTCAAAGTTTCTAAGTATGAGATTTTTTAAGACCGTGCAATGTCCATTCATACAGCATCGTATCTGTACGTTTACCACTGATCCGCACGAAATGTACGACATTGCAGAGTTGTCTGGACTCCATATAGTATTGATCAGTAGTATTGGTCTCCGATTGCTTTAGCAATCCATTATTCACATCTCCCTTCTTTAGCTTGTTTACGTGGTGGTTCTGTCCTGCTGCTGTTATCGGGTCGCCCAGGAACTTGCTTTTGGGCTTATGATGGCGAATACACTTTTTGCCAGCAGCCTAAATCTCATGCCATCACTAGTGTCTCGAAAGCAATAGTTTACATTTGTCATGCACTTCGTGTTGTGTATCTGGCAATTCATTCCAAAACTCAGAAAAATCTGCGAGCAGTAACTCAAGTAACTTTTAATGCTTCTAAAACCCTTAAAATAATTAGACTGACGGCTTTGTAGAACTCCGTCCGACCTTTGATTATTATATAGTTTCTTTTTCCAACAAAAACGACTGTCCTTTAGTATAATTATTGGCTGCATTTTTCTTTGTTTATGAATTTTTTTGATTCCTGTACTCCCCATCTACGATAATATGACTGTCCTTATATTTTTCCAACTCAGTTTGCATGCCTTGGGTTCTTATTGGCGGTCGAATAGGAGGGTTTCCACACTTTGCACGGTTAGGCCGCTTGAAGTCGCACTGCCCCACTTGAGGCGTTTGGCGTGCATTCACCCGACTGTCAACTCCTGCCAAACTCTTTCTCAGTTATTTTGTATTATCTTACTGACCGCTAGCTCCTTCTCTTTCCATCCGGTACCTAGACTGAAGGTCGTAGTGCCCACTGCCTAACTATGGCTCCATCTGCCCCGATATCCTCAATTGCGTCCTTAATTCGGCTGTCAAAGTCTAACTAAGGTTTAATCAACAGGTCTGCCTGAAGTACAGCCTGATTAAAGAGAATACCGTATTCTATTTCACCGTCCATCGACAGTTTAGAGCTGCTGCAACCTGGCGTTGATTATCAAAATCTAGTTTGCAAATCATCAACGAATCAAAGAGTGCAAATTTCATGGTCGCATTTTACCATAATACATGACTCTAAGAAGGCATATTCTAGTTGCTTCTGTAATAATTGTACAGACCTTTCCATTATTGGTCTGCCTTCTTTTGCAGTTTCGAGATAAATGTCTGCCCATTGTCCAGGGTATCTGTCGTCGACGGTTCTTGCTAACTCGGTCATATTTTATAAAAACCGCAAAAAATGTGCTTTCTTTCAATCGTTTGATGGAAAATCACGTCATCTTCATATTTTAAAGATAGCTTAGTTTTCAATATGGTACTTATCATGAGATTTTCTAAGACAATGCAATGTCCATTCATACGGCATCGTACATGTTCATCTACCACTGCTGCTCATGAAATGTTCCACCTTAAAAAGTTGTCTGGACTGACTGCCGACTGAAATTCTAAAATTTCACTTTTGATCAGAAAAGATTACTTAGGCGCGGTTGTAATACTGATTATCTTGCGACATAATCCTCTAATGTTTCGTGATCGGCAGGATTTCAACTTTTGAATGAATTGTTTTTAATCCACTGTAGTAACTGAACTCGGTGAAAAAGTACTACTTAAGTACGATATTGCAAAGTTGTCTAGACTCTATGTAGTATTTCTTTAAAGGCACTAAAATATGTGATTTTTTTCAGGCGGAACGCATGCAACCTGTACACTGAAATAACTAAACGCTAATGCAACGACTGATCAGGCCCAAAATTATTCTAGAAACAAAAAACTTTTTAAAACCTGATTATACTTCTTCTTTTGGTATAAATATGAGTATGACGGCGGACTCTATCAAACGACTGAAAGAAACCATATTTTTATTCGTGGCTACTATAAATTCGTGGCTAAATTCGTTTACTTGCATACTTCATACTGATAATCTATGTACAAGCGGAAACCGCGAAATCCACATGTAGATGATGTTTTCTTCCTTCAGCCGTACCCTTACCTTCTATTACCAGAAATGTTTTAAAGTGTTATGCAGATTAACTGAACAAACAAACTAATTTACTGCTTCAGACAGCATTCAGCGAAGGAGTACAGGGCAACCAATGTAATGCTGGGTTGTCTGGAGTGTTTTTTTTTAAATTAAAAGGGGCAGACCTATTTTGTGGACTGGGATAGGTGGGAAAATGGGAATAAGGGCGCCTCTGTGCGTTGACGTATCTCTTGGTCGTCCTGTCGGTCGGGTCGGTGTGCAAGTTGCTATGGTTCTGTTTTGTAGTGGCGTCGTCCCTTAGCACAAATTCCTACCAATCCAGAAGAATTAACAATCTTCAGTCTATGAGTTGGTGACCGACATTATGGTTAATGTTTAGGCGTATATGATGGATGGACCTTGATCATGATTATTTGGAATGTCTGAGGAGACAGCTATCCTCCGGGCATGATTGGCATCTGTACAGACAATTTCCTTGAATAAGGCCCGTAACACTATGTGTTCGGATTTATACTCTTGCCCACATTGAATCAGAAGTTGCAGAGGCCATCGGAGGAAGTTGGGACGCGTTTGCTCGAACTTATTTTGCATGCTTATCTTCAAACTTTCCCGTAAGTTGTTAAGTCGGTCTGCCGATGAAACCCATGGAAACCTGCAGATATGTTCGGGCAGTAAATCACAGGCACGCAAACTGTTTGTACATTATTAGAGAATTGGCACAGTAATTGTTGTTGTTGCTCACGGTCCTTAATGAATCTAAGAAGGCAAATATCATTTGCATCTGTTATTATTGCACAGACGTTTCTATTATTGGTTTGTCTTTTTAGCAGTTTCGAGATAAATAGCTGCACATTCTCCAGCGCATATGTCGTTGCATCGCGTGGTCAGCATTCAGTAGGCATTATGTCCTCGCATCGCATTGGTTGCAAGACGGCCAATGGTTTATGGAAGAAAAAACTGAGCGTGTTGCATCAAAAGATGAAGGTGCTCATTACGTTTCATCTGCTGCTTTCTTATGCAGGAGCTTCCTCTTTTACAAGAAGTAAGTTTCATTCTAGTGAAATTTCCCCATTTGTCTGAACTGTAAGTATCACGGGAGACGGCAGGGTGTGAGTCGACCGCCTGTTTTATTTATCTTGGTTTGTACTTCTAATCTGTTGGTCCTCAAATATTTTTCAGGTGAAACTTGTTATGTCTTAATCATGTGAATTAGGCGTGATGTTATTAGTAGGAAATCAATATTTTACACAAATCACTTCAGTAGGAGTGACTGCTATATCTTGGTATGCAACTGCATAAACTTTGCAGTAGTCAAAATGATTCAGTGCATGCCAGACAAATAGTGTGGCAATGACCATCTTAGAAATTGTGTATGTTTGATTAAACTGCCGTGTTCACATTCCGAATTTAAGTCAGTCTAGATTATTTGGTGGAATTGTTGTAAATCTGAGCATTATAACTTCCGCGAGTCTTTGAAAGCCAAAGCTGCATACGTCCTTTTGGATCGCATGGCACACAGGATAAACGAGCTTATCGGATGATTACTGCCGTGTGTTTAAAAATACCACCGATGTAAGAGCGCACGTTACCATGTAGCAATAGGGTTATCAACATTACTGAACATAAGTGTTTTTCTGAAATTATTTGTGCGGAAGGAAACCCTCGTAAGATACTTATCTTTTAGGAGTTCCCAAATGTCCACGAAGCGAAGAAGACATTATCTTGAGTGATGCTGCGCTATACCTCGTGGTATAGGCAAATCATTTCAGTTTCCAGAAAAGACTGCCCTATAGGGAGTCATCTTTAATATTTAGAATGGAAATCATACCGACGAATTTATTTTTTAGTTGCAAATTTTGGAGAGACATATCACCTGCAAACTATGCGCAGTACAGATGCCAGTCTCCAATACTTTATACTGAGGTCAGCATTTCAAAAGGGGTAAGAGCACGATGGCAGCGGACTTGTGGACTCTTTTAGCATAATATTCTTCAAAATATTTCATGGTGTTATATTTCACTCAAATCTCCATGTATATTTCACTCAAAGTTTCCATGTATACAAAATATTTTCATCACAGAATGTAGACGCGGAAAGCTTTGATGAAGTTCTGACAGGCACCCAATATTTTTGCTATGCCTTACACGGAATGTCTTTGAGGGCACTGTTGACATTACTTACTGGAGGACGGAAAATAACCCGCCAAATATTATTCGACTCTTCTATCTCCAGCCGTCCAACGCGCGCAAACGTATTGCAGGCAGTTCCCGGAAACCTGTCGATTCCGATTTACTAAAGCTGGTGAATATGGGAAAAGGGACTTCTATTTGTTTCTTAAGCGAGGATTCCTAAGTGCGCCCTCGATAGACTGCCATCAGTAATTGTCATTGTTGTCAAAAAGAGCTATTTAATAGGAATTATAACTACATGATTGTCGTTTTAACATTCATCCTTTGTAAATTTATTTTTCCTTTGATGAAATTACAAGTCAAATTTTGTTCGAGCAGTCGCAGCAAATTAAATGCCAGATATTGACAGATACATATGATGAGGTATCTATCTTGTTCCACTAAATGTCAGGGTGCCGATGGGTGTAGGTACTAT